TGTAGCAAAAACCAGATAATAATCTAAAGGAGTACTTTTCAGTATATGTTCATTTCAGGTGTAGAAGAAATATCTATTTTTAAATTCAGCCTCAACATGATGGGTTATTTGAAGTGAACATGGGGTTCACTTGGATTTATCAAGTTGTTGAGCGTGTACACTTTGTAAGCTGAGTTTTTACTTTGCAAAAGTGAATGGTCCCCTAGCTTGGGAAGGAATATGGAACTGCGTTCACTGCAACCATCCAATCCATTTAGCTTTGCGAACACAACTGCGCAAAGCTAAATGGACGTTAAGTTTACAAAGTGAAAATCTGATACTGATTTAGGAAATCAATCTCACAAAAGACATACAAGTGATGTGATGTATTAGTGTTGAGAAGTTGGGTTCCTCTGTAGTAGAGGCGTTATATAGACGGTGCATGCAGTGTGAAAGTATTTGCTAAGCTCGGCTTAGCCTAAAAGGACTCTGTTTAGAGAAGCCGACTCTTTGAACTTTCTCAGGTAGAGTTCCCAGCTCAGATTTGTTATTTTAGTACATGGCAGACTAGGTGCAGGTGATCGCACAGAAGAGACAGCAGCGCTGTCGTGGTTGTACTGTACCCACCTGCGGGAGTTTGGGGTCATTGATGTCCCAGGTGAGTTTCATCCCATAGGAACAGATGCAGTCGGAGTCATCGTACATGTCACCGGAGATCTTGGACATAGTCATCGGCTCCAGTTTTGAAGTGTTCTGTACAAAGAGAGCAAAAGCTTGTCAGTGTATTAATTGGCAGAATCCATTCAACTACTTAATGCAGAACTGCACGCAGTATAAACTTAGACTCTCTAGTACTGATCCGAGACTGACCCCTCCTTCTACACAAAACTAACAATACAAGGGGAAGAGAAGGAAGCAGGCACATCAGAGATCCCTATTCATTCAGGGGCAAAAGAAAAAACATCCAGGTGACAAGTGTAAGCAGACTTTATACACAGATGACAAGAAGAGAGAGATGGGTGCCAGATAGCTGCCACATCAAAGGTCAAGTTCTGCACCTGAAGTCAGGACAGCTTACGGCAGATGTGAACCCTAAGTGAATGACATTTGGTTTGCTAAAGTGCTAGATAATATTATAAACTCTCATTTTGTGTCACATCTCAGTGCTGCTGATCTCCTTTTGCCACTTTCAGTCCAAATGCATGCATTACAGTGAGAGTCAAGGGTCGGTTTCCTTATTGTGACAACAGCGGACCATGGCTGCATAATGAAAGTAGAACTGGCCACTTGTATTCTCATAAGCAAGCCCATATGGCAGGGTGACAATGGAGGAGCCCCACTGAGAGACAGGGGCAGAGTGTTGTCACCCTATAACAGGAAGTGTGTGAACAAGGACCTTCATAGTAGGATCACTCTTTATTATTAAAGAAGAACTCCTTTATTATCCCTTGCAGTGGAGCTATTCCTGCAATGCAAGGGTTAAATGCTTGATTTCCTCTAGGTGCTAAAATAAAAAAAAGTTATAGTGATCTTCAGAGCTAGCTTTCTCTTAGACCAGTCCTTCCTGCCTTGCTCCCCTTCCGCTGCCGCGGATTCTCGAGTCATTACGTCCAATATACTGTGTACTGGACATGAGAATGCTGAGGGACATACTATTGCTGCAGCGTAGGAGGGCACAGGCTGGACGGAGTGCTGTGACAGCCAGCCGCCTCCGAGGTTCGAGTGAGTATAACTTTTTTCTTTTGGCACCTAGATAAAAAACAAGCAGTTAACCCTAGCAATGCAGGGGTAGCTCAACTGCAGAGATGTCCCCAGGCAGGGTGTCACCCGGTGCCGCTGGGACATCATCACACATGCGTGTGACGTCATCACACACGTGTTTGATGTCATTACGCACGTGTGTAATTATGTCGCGCGCACTTAACCACCGGCGACCATTTTGGTGATGGATGCCAGTAATAGTAGAGAGGAGGGGATGTTCATCTGGCAGGATAAGGTATGCCACTGAGTCCCCTCTCTTGTGCAGCTCTTGGGCTCTTGGTCCATGACCGAGTGCCTGACTTTTCAGAGGGGGTGACACCAAAATGACTGTCAGTCCTTTTGGTATCATCCCTTCTGATGGTGTCACCCGGTGCGGACCCACCGCACCGGGTTACTGCCCTTTTTTTTTTAACACAGAGCATATCTGCCTTGTAGCACTGGGGTCCTTGGTTTGAATCCTGGCCAGGACATTATCTGCATGAAATATGCATGTTCTTCCTGCGCTTGTGCCATCTACCTCCCACACTCCAAAGCCATACTGGTTGGTTTATTGGCTCCTGTCTAAATTGGCCCTAGTGTACATGAGCTAAGGACCTTGGATGTTAAATTCCTTGAGTGTAGGGACTGATATTAATGAATAGTATGTAAAGTGCTGCATAAATTGACAGCGTCATAATAATACTTGTAATAAATAAAAAAAATACATGAACACAACAGATTTAGAAAATATTGATGGCTTTGACTAATGAATATGACTTTGAAAATTCCATTAACATAAGTGTATGTAAAGGCAATGTGCTTTGTTTTGGATAGAGTGGCGAGGGGATAGACATCTGTGTCCTGGGGAGATTTACTTGGAAAAGAGCGGGCACTCGTAGGAATCCTCTTAATGGCTGTTTCTTTATTGAAAAGGCATAAAAGCAGCTACAAATGGATGGGGGGATTTACCCCTTTATTTGTCCTGGTGGCCATTGTCACTGAGACAGAATTCGAGTGAAATAAAACATTTCAGATTTGTTAGCAAAACAAGAGGTCACAACTGTTCCAGTGTCAACTTGAATGAGATGGAAATTCCCGTCACTTTCGGGTGATTTCCTTTCATTTTCTGTTGCATCTCCAGGAAAGGAGCTAAAAGGAAATCTCCCCAGCAGGACAGGTATCCTGATATGGGTTTTAACCCTTCCCAGCTCCTCTGCTTCCCCTAAAATGTTTTTGGCTTTAAAAGTTTTGTAAGAATTTAATAAGTTGATTTATATATGTTATAACAGTAATTTTCCATTGAAAAATAACTAAAATGACAATATACTTGAGGTTTATGTTAGTAAGTTAAAGAGATAACAATCCTATTTATAGTTTGTTCCACTGTTGTGATATTTTTGTATGAAGCGTTATTATTCCACAGCTTTGTCTGTATTGCTCTGTATACATAGCGGGGACGATATATGTGTCACTGGGATTCCCCTGGCCTTTCAGTGGAAATAGCTCATATTAGGATTTGGATATGGAATAGTTTTGTTTTTTTTCATAAGGAAATGTAAGTACAGTCATGTGATCTCTTTTATATAATGAAACCAGAATGTATTTTACGTTCATGTTGAGTGTGAGCACACCCGTGTACAGAATCAAAAAAGATAATAACAAACATTAGGCTCAATTACAAAGCTTTAATACAACAATACAGATCTTTCTTTTCAGCCGTGTGACTGTCAGTTTAAAATCCCATTGGTTGTTAGTTGAACATAACTGGTTTGTTTTTTTATTCAGATAACATCCTGGTGTGTTAGCTGAGCCTATTGCCCATCATCACTATTGTTATGTCATTGTAACAATGTTAAATCTAAACAAATATTCCACCATGTTTATAAAATGAATGCCCACAACCGTTCGTCGCATGTAATCAGATGGACTGCAATTCCCTGCAGGGGAACGCAGGACGCAAAGTGTTTGTGTCCAGAGGTGATCGTCTGCAGCTGTCATCGCTATGCATAATAATAGGCCCCTTTCACACAGGCAGTCTGATCGAGTCCGCATGCCAATTTTTCCGGCATACCCGATCGGATGCCCAATGCTGGTCTATGGGCAGCTGGGTCTAAATGGACATTGGTTTAAAGCCGATTCCCCTTAGACTGACATGGGGTCCGGTCATTTCAGTTGCATGGACACGGATATCACAACAGTGACATCGGATCCGTACCACTCCAATCAGGAGCGGAACGGATCGGTGCTTGCCCACAGCTGTTCCATTGAATCTCATGGAGCAATTTGTGAGACTGCCCTAATTCACAAGGGTGAATGGGGTCTTGGTGAATTGTTAGGCCCGGTTCACATCAGATCCTCTTGTCAGTTTTTAGTCTAATCAATGGGTGGGCTGATGTAAACGGACATGCATCTGTTTACATCTGATTGCCTCCAATCTATCTAGGGCTGGAAAAAAAAATGGAAAGGAGTTATGTCTTTGCAAAGCTAAATGTGGCGAATTGGAGGTAAAAGGATGTAAACGGACATACATCCATTTACATCCGCCTGGGCATAGACCTAAAATGGGTCATATTAATGTAGCTGATTATCAGGAGCTAGGCGGGACGCTAAGCTGGACGGGGAGATGCAGAGCCTACAGCGGGGAGCATCACTCAGTTACCCCCCCATGTCCCAGACTGCCTCAGTGGGCAAAAAGACTAGTGAATACTAAAGCAGAGCGGGCAAACTGCCCCTTTCAGTTTTTTCACCTCCATTCTCAGTTTGTCTTAAGACATCTCATCTTGTTAATGTGAAAAAATATTTTTCAATGATTCAGCAAAAAACGGGGGCAACTGGATGTAAACTGCCCGTCCATTTAGATCTGGCTGCCCATAGACTAACATTGGTTTTCAAATAGGGACTGCCTGAAAAACTGACAGGCGGACCTGATTGAAAAGCCTGTGTGAAAGGGCTCTTACTTGATTATACTGTAGCTCTTTTCCCCTTTTCTTTTATCTTTAATAGTGATTTTGCATTTGTAACTATCTACCTAAATGATGTAACATCTCTTCCCCTCGCCCACATTACATTCTCTAGTAGAGCAGTTTGTTAGGAACTTTCACTTAAGTGGATAATAACTTGACAGATGCTAACATAATTCACTGAATGTCAAATCTGAGCGTTTGAAAGAGATATAGACATCATTGTCCATGGTATGTCATTCAGGAAAAGGCAAAAACATATTTGCAGTTAGCCAAAACCTTACAGAAATGTTTCTCTTAAATAAAATACCAGAAATGTTCCACTGATTAGTCATGAATGTTAGAATGTAATATAATTATTGCTTTTCTTCAAACTGTCCATCCATCCTGTCTGCGTCCGAGCATGGACACCTGCGCGCATGTGCAGTTCGGGTGAATGTACGGCCGCGTCCTCCCATAGAGAAGAACAGGCTGCTTTGGACAATCACACGCAGCACCTGTCCTTCCCGGTTACGGCCGTGCACGCCGCATGGATCTGTACGACCCGACTCTAAGCTGTGTGAATGAGGCCTAATAGCGTAACCTGTCAGAAGCTGTATCCAGCGACTTGACAGGTTACGCAAAATGTCTTGAACAGGAAGAGGTGGGACAAATTTAGATGGGAGGGGGGGTGCCGAGTTTTGTCTTGCCTAGGGCAGCACGAAACCTAAATACATCACTGCATATGACAGTTCAAGAAGAAATCGAGCCATTTTTTTTTAGCTTTGGATATACTGTAGTAGTACGGGAGGGTTATAACTCCTGTCTGCTTTTTTTGCCATTGGTGTCCTATTGGGGAACATTCCATTCATTTCGTGTCCGATAGCCACAAGAGGAAATGAGGAAAATGAGGAAGTGAGGAAATCCCTCCAAAGTGAAGGAAATCCTTGATGATCAGCTGGGTCACCAGAACTAGTGCCCCATTGGAATATTTATGTTCCTGCTCTGATGACAACAACACTTGGGATTTTATTTCGCTTTCAGTAA